AAGTAGCTTGATTTTGAAGGCATTGTAAAATGGAAGGAGTGGGCTGTATTCCTGTGTAGACATTAAGAATGAATCCTCCTACATGTTGCTGAATGATTTACACCCATAGCTCATTGAAACAAGCAAAGAAATTTTGTCGTAAGTGTGGACTTTAACATTTCTACTGAAACCACAATCGGAAGTATAAGAGGAGATATTCACTAAAATTTGAATTTCACAAATAAACTTGTGTGCATGTCTTGTCTTGTCTAGTGGAGAAACATTCACTACATTTTCCATGTTTTGGCAACAACCGGGAAAAAATTAAATTCATTACATAACTATGTAATCGATGCAGTAACATAACATAATCACGCACTGACATTTACAGTACGCAAAAGTTTGCATACCCTGGTCAAATAATTTTGTAATTAAAAATAACACATTTTCTACTGGATACAAACTTTAAAAAGGCATTCTTCTGCTAATTTTAGTGCTCAGTGTTTATTTTTTAGCTAAGTTTAACATATTGGAATATATATATGCATGTACTTAACATTTCACTTATATTTACTTCGTCAGTGAATTATGCTTATATTATATCTCTTACACCTTCCTTTAGATGCCTTCAGGTAAGTAAAGGACTGATTACATCACAAATTGGCACCAAACAAGGCTAAGAATGTTCAAATAACTAATTTATTTCACCTTTTTTGACAAGGCGTATCTCAAACTCCAAACCAGACACAATGAGAATATAATGGAAGAACCAGATCTAAATAATATTTTCTTGTTGTTTTGCAGTCAGGATTGAGCGAGGAACTGTTGAGTGACAATCAAGACTGAAGATAATCAGGAACATAAACACTGTTTTATTACTATTACCTTTCATTGGTATTTGTTTTGTTTTGATTAGGGGTGGAGATAATGAGCAGTGGGTGGGTGTGGGTGGGTGGGTGGGGGAGTTTGGCAGGACTGCTTGGATTCTGAGGCATAGTTACATGCGAGTAATGACCTTTATGGTGTTTAACCCTCATTCTTACAACATTTAAAGAGGCATGTGGTGCTTCAAACAACAAAGTATTACTGGCTGCTTTTATGAGACTTCTTTCTCAACTGAGTTCAACTTTAATTAATAAATTAACTATCAATCAATTGTAGATGTACACAATTATGAGTGGATATAAAATTAATACACATACAGTATTGTATAAAATCATGGCCTACTCTTTATTTATTTAATTTCTAAACAAAACTGGAAAAAATATTAAGAGGTATAGAGACAATGGGGCTCATAATAACTGTGCAAGTCCAGGTAGACCAACAAAACTGCCCCATCAGATAAACAGTACTTACGGCTTTGATCTTTGAGAGATGAAAGAAAATTGAATTTGTTTTTCTCCTATCAGGTGTTTTCAACATTATTTAATGTGTATAGGATTACTAGGATTACTTGTCCAACCAACATCTAAGACTGAACTTTGAAGATATCATTAAAATATATTCCTTGCACATACAGTATAAATAAAATATCCCTGCAGATTTCTTTGATAAACTGAAAGTGTTCTGAGAAAAATGGAATATGTCTGTAATAAAGGCAAAGGGTGGACACACAAAATACTGGTAAACGTGGTATTCTATTTAGTCGTTGAGGCTTCTATATAAAGTTGATGTGGCTATAAAAAATGTGACTATAAAAACACTTTAAACTTTAAAAAACCTCCACATAATGTAAAAGTTATGCCAACTAAAAGTTTTTCCCTAGAACCATGTGTCCAAGCCAATAACCATATAGGAACCTTTATTATTAAGAATGTATGGAACCTTTTGTGAAGATCCTATAAACTTTAAAAAGGTTGTTCATACTCAAGTGTATCAAAAAACACAAACGGCACACGGTACTAAAACAGATATGTGTGAATGGGAGTCATGACATATACAGACACATCGATTATGGCAGAGGACAGAGGATATCTCTTTCTGGTTCCCTCCCAGGCCATCAGCCTCCACCTTCCCTGCTGAGGAGGGCTCACTCGTGGGCCGGCGAGGGCCGGGAAACTCCGGTGATTTATGGAGCTCTACAGGCCTCACTGCCTCTCTCCTCAGCGAGGTCATTCGCACAAGTGGAGCCTCCTTGATTGCTTGCCCCCCTCTTTTATTTGGTAATCATAGATTGTTCATTAGGATTGATCGTGGCTGGAGTCATCCACCCCCTCGACCCCGTTTGGCTGGTTGTAACATCCTCTTCAGTGGGTTATGAGGTCGTAACCTGAATCGTATTGAGAGAAGTGAGTTGCTTTTTTTTTTTCAATAAAGATTTGTAGTGCACGTGTTCGGGGCAAAAACTGCCCTCAATGATAACACAAAGTAAATGCGATTTGGTACAGTCCAGTTCTCCACAAAGACACAAAGACGTTTGACTGCTACTGTAAACAAAAGGAACAATGCAATCAAAGAAGCCCAGGGAACCATTTTGTGATTCCAAAAGGGGCTGGGCGAATGATTTTGGCCTAATGAACAGACAGATCAAATTTCACAGTAGGCTTTACTGTTAGCAAAGAATACTTACAGTTAAGAAATGTTAGTGCGGCACACATAAGATATTGGCAAAGGTGATTTATTGAATGTATTTGATTTTCAAGTCTGTATGTGTACTTTTAACAATAAATGTGTTTATGCAAATTCAAAGTCAATGCAATTACAAAGATGATTGAAAAATGCAATGTGCTGAATAAAGTATTTATTAATAGAAATATAGGTAACAATTTACTTGAAGGCTATTTACATAGGACATGCATAAACTTTGAACAGTGTACTTATAAAGCAATACTTGAGAGTTTATAAACAGTTTACGCCTGCATTCTCTGAAGTAAATGACATTGTATTGACATAAGGGGCCTTAAACTAAAGTGACAGATATTAGTTCCAGTTCTAACGCTTTTATGAAGCATTATTTCCAAGCAATGGAACTTTTAAGGCAGAGGCTGAGTTATGAGACTGATATATGAGTGTGATACAATTGAACTTAAGCGATCATTTTCATACATTTTCCCATATTTATACATATACATTCAGAAAAAAAATAACACATCACCATAATTAATAAATAAACACAACTACAGCAAGAATTAACAAGAATTACTTGATATATTTTGAGTTAGTTTGAAGGACAAAGTTTGGTTCCAGATTTCTCCTGGACACCCCCGACATCATCACATGGATTTGATAAATTCCATCAGCGGCACACTTGATTTATCATAATGAAATATTTATTGAGCCAAACCAGGTATTAGATGATGACTAAAGATAATATTAGGCTTTCATGAGGAGACGTTTGGAAATGGTTAAGCAAACACATTGACATGTAAAATAACTACTTATTGTATTATTATTATTTGTATTTTTTGTAAAATAAGTGCTTCTCTGGGCAAATAAATAATCATTGCCAGGATTTTCCCAGGTGCCTTTAACGTATGCACAGTGCTATACATATACATACAAAAACACTGTACTGGAGTAAAAGTAAAAATACTCTTTTTAGAACAGAAGTTGCACAAAATAACTTGCTTATAAATGTACTTAAGCATCAAAATAAATACAATGTGTGTTGTTACAGTTATGTTAAATTAATTTGATGGCTGCAGTAAAAAGCAGACTTAATTATAATTATTCAGGTACTTTAAATCTGATTTATGTTGATATATAAGTTCCATTACTTGTGAATGATGTTTCATGACAGTGTTCTAAAAGGAACAAATGTCTCTTTAGTTTACAGCCTTTCATGTCAATACAGTGCCATTTATTTCATAAAACTTTTGTCATACAATTTCCTGCATAAGCTGTTCAAAAATAAGTATTGCTTTATAAATGTGTTATGCAATGCTTATACATGTGTTATGAAGTTAGCTTTCATATGAAGTGTAACCAAATATATTCCATCAACACAATTCTGAGTTTTTATCTATTTAGTTTCAGCAATAATTGTGTTCATGTAATAAATTTGACTCAGACTAGACATTTAAATCAAGTCAGTTCAACGCATAACTGAGTCTACTGTTGAATTCCTTCCTCTCAATAATTCCATAATAGACACAGTTTTATAGTAGTTACTGAATAATTGAAATTAGTTACTAAATGATAAGTCTCAAGATTAATGACTGAATAACAAGAGTTACTGTCTCTATGCTGACAAAATCAGAAGCACACTAGTTGGGTTTGCACTTATAAAGTATTTTCTTCTATTGTACTGAGCAATCCTATTTTCTTGCCTATGCAAATAAACAATTTCCTCCTACTGACCATCTGTCTTTCTGTGTGCCGAGTGTGGACTGCTGATTCACCTTGAGGGTCTCGCTGCACTGCCCTCTCTCTCTCAATCAGGTTGACCATTATTAAATTCGAACCTGGGGCCTGCTGCATATGGAGAAAAGGGCATGGTGGCGGCCTGGCCCCTGCAAGTCAAGGCCGGGGCCCGGGTTTGTTTTCATCACGACAAAGCACCCAAATCGTGTCACTATGAAGTGGGCTATATAAATGCAAATGCTATTGGGCATCTATTAGAGGGCTTGGGAGAAGGGGGCTGTATGTAAATGTCCTATAAGAGGCTGGCGGGGCACTCATCCCAAGCCGATTACTATAGCCCTCGGTGAAAGGCGGAGCAGCACAGTGGGGTGGGGGGGAGGAGTGCCAGCACTTCGTGCTAAATCATGGCGAACAAGGTGAGAACCTGGGTAATTGAATAGTTGCGGAGTCCACCTTTGATTTATTGTATATGCAAGAGGGACGCACGGGCGAGAAATTGCTGTACACATCCATATGGTGCGGTAGAGGTTTGTTCTGATTGTACCCTTTGCTCGATAAACTGTTTTGGACTGTGATGTATGTACGGCATGCGAGAGGTGGCAACGAGCTCAATATAAAGTATTTTAGCTGGTGACTTTTATTATAATTTGATTCCAAAAGAAAATCATTGCAGTGTTATGGTTCAGAGTCAGAGACCACTGTACATGAAATTACTTTACCAAGTTCTAATATTGGGCAGATGCATTACAGCAACACTAGCCTGCTGAAGTGAATAATAATTATTTATGTGTATATTTCTGCATCCTTCATGTAAAATTCACTTAATGGTGTAAAGTACAGTTACCTGACTTCTCCCTGCCTTTGTCTAATACTGGGGAGATGCCGCTCTCTAGTGATGAAACAGAAGAAGTACATCTGTCTATGACCAAGTCTAATCGTCTGACAACAGGGTTCAGTCCCCTCAATCTTGGATCAGAAGACAAATATGTAGAGTGAAATGTTAATAGGTGTTTATTTGTTCTCTGTAATGAGCAAGTACAGCAGCTTACAATACTTCAGTGTGAACAGAACTGTAAAAGGAAATGATACACATGGCAAATAAATATTACATTCAGACATACCATAAACAAAGACAACATGCTAACACTTTACTTGAATTCTGCTACAACCATGCCATAAACATGTCATGGCAGATGTCATATGCGTTGTCATAACAGATTTGTTTAGCAATATAAGATTGTATGCAAAAGTTTGAATACCCCAAATAAATGTTTGTTGATTTTTAAGTGAAGATAAGCAAAGACATCCTATACAGGGAACAAACTAAAATATAGCATTTTCCTGCAAAGTTTAGAGCAAAGTACCTATTTATTTGCTGATTTGTACATTGGGAAAAATTAAACATACAGTAAAAATGTGCCATAACTTTTGTACAGCTAACATTTTATGATTTTTTTCTTCCAATATGTGACATTCAGCATACAACAAAAAGTTGTGCATTAAAATGTGCAGAAATGGGTTATCTGTAGAGGATGTTTTAACTTATTTTTACTTTAAAAAAATCAACAAAACATGTAATTTGACCAGGGGCACTCAAACTTTTGCATACAACTGTAACAGTGACATGTTACCCTTGACAGTAATTGTCATGACATATGTTTGATGTCATGTGACATGCTAATATTTGCTAAATGCACTCTAGTTAGCCATCATGACGTCACACGTTATGACACCTATCATGACAATTTATGCTAATGGTATCATGACACTGTTATGTTACTAGACATGATATGTCATGACAACTCATGACAGCATACGACATCTGCCAAGACATGTTTATTTCATGATTATGTCAATGTTATGTGGCAGGGTTCAAGTATTACCAAATCTGCATACTGTTGCCAGGCCATGCCTATATACTTACATACTGTGACATTTTGGTCTTAAGTCATTTCATTGCAAAAGCCATGCTTGAAATTATTCTTTTAATGGTCAGTTTTTCATGAAAGATTAGACTTAGTCCAGAACCACACAGCATCTTTACTCTCATTTGACACTGTCTTGATTTGATCAAAACTATATTACTATACTGTTGGTTCAACTGCATAGTAGAAAGGATCAACAGCCTACTTGTGTTGTGAATCATTTGGTCCTGGTTGGAATATTTTTGCATAACCACATCATCCCATCCTACAGAGAGAGAAGAAAAAATAGGAAAATGAAGAGATGAGTACCCACTCACCATGCACTTTATTAGAAATATCTCATGCTTATGGTCACAGGTCAACCTACCTTATAGACCCACTGTATAGGTTTACAATTACAAACTGCAGCCCATCTGCTGTCCAGCATAATATGTCAGCCACCCTTTATAGCAGGGGTTGACTTCAGTCATGGAGGGCCACTGTCCACCACAGTTTGGTAATTCCCCAACTCAAACATATCCACTAGTCCTGACAAAGACAAATGAGTTGATTCAGGCATGTCTGAGCAGTAAAAATCACCAAACTGTGCTGGAGCTCTAAGACTGAATGGCTATCCAGACCAGAGCTAAACAACCTGGCTCTATACTGTCTGTCATTGGCATCATCCCAACACTGACCACTGATGAATGACTAGAGGATAACTGACAAAAATGTGTAAGCAGATGTTCCACAGTCTCTAACTGTGCTCAGGCTTGGGGGGGGGCATCCTTCATTTATTTAATTTCCAGTTAAAACAGTCATTACACATTATTCTTTTTTCAGGAGATGTTTCCAAGGAGACATAAGATATAACATAATCCACTTGCATAAGGAAGGGAAAGGTTACAAGAACAAAAGAGTTTCCAAGACTGCAGTGATTGCAGCGTGATTAAAAGATATAGAGAAAAAGGGACTCCTAACAAGCATATAAGACCTGGTAGCAGGGCCGGATTAGGAGCATTTTTCAGGCCAAGAATGTAACCCAGGCCACACACACACACACACACAAATACACATATTTTTTACAGTATTATGCAAAGTCTTAAACTGTTTAAATCTAATTACCTGGGCAGTGTAAGTATTTTTTCTTGTAAAAACTACTGTATGGATCATTCTACCTCACTGGTTCCAAGTCAGAGTTGAAAACATATTTTGGACTTTTAACAGACTTGGACTTTAGACTAAAATCCTTTTGCTTTGAATGACCCTATACCTTAATTATGTTCATTTTATTAATTAAAATGATTCAACAATCCATTTTGTCACTAACAATATACAATAAAAATGTTATTAAAATTCTACCATGTTTAGGGAGTAACTGTTTTGGTAGTGACAATTTTAGTTAATTTTGAGCAAAAAAACACTGGCCAGTACATGACTAGAAAACACAGATTTGAACAGTTGCATGTAAAATCATAATATTTTTCATTAAAGCACAATACATTGCAGAAAATATGCATTTCATTAGTGAAAGCTCCTAATGTTACATACTGATTTTCAGAATTTGGGACAAATTTACTTCAAAACAATTGAATCTAACTGCTCACCATGTGGCCACGAAGAACATGGATGCAGTCTCATTTCCTGCTCTAAAATTCAGGGGTGTGGCTAAAATAAGGCTCCGCCTATGGACTTAAACTTCCAGTTTCCAGTGTTCCAGTATTAAGCTCATACGGTTTACTATGCACATGCTTGAAAAAATATTTTAGGCCAATTGTGTGTAGACTACAGGGCAGGGATGCAAGAGGGTAGGACGTTTGATGACATATGAATGGTTGTAGCTGTGCTCTGCAGTTACAGTATAGTTCATCTTTGTATTTGGCCTGACTGCCTGGGCCAACTGACAGGCCAGGCGAGTGGGAAATCTCCCAGTCTTCCTGATGGGCAGTCTGGGCCTGTCTGGAAGACCACTAAAACAGTCAACATCAGATACACTGTACTTAAAGCTTAGATGTGTAAAAAAAATAGGTGAGAGATGGGACAAAATCAAGCTCCACTCTTGCTTCTAATTTGAAAAGTTTCTGTCCATCCTTCCACAACTTAGGTTCAAAAGGATGTGTAGCTGTTAAGAAGCTGTTATTGAGAAAAGTAAATAGATGAAAAATAAGAATATTCAAAAAATCAAACAAGAAAAGCTGCTAGTATTCTGAGAACAAAGCACTGACCACCCCAGAGTCCTGACCTCAACATCACTGAATGTGTTTGAGATTACTTGGATAATAAAAATCAAAAAAAACAACCAACCAACTTCTAAGACTGAACTTTGGTGGTGTGAAAAAAATATCCCTGCAGATTTCTGTGAAAAGAAAGTCTCCTGAAAAGAATGGAAGCTGTAAAAAAAGCAACGAGTAGGCACACTAATTACTGAAAATTCTGAAATTATGTTTGGTTGTTGAGTTTTTTGTGTAATTATCTTTTAAATATATGTTTTCTGCTTTTTTTCCTGATCCTGTGAAATGATTAAGTTAATTGTTAAGTCCTTAATTTTTATTTAGTCTACGATTGAAATAAAGGATGCGTGGTCTCTGACTTTTGCACAGTACAGTATGTCTGTGGTTACCTGTACTCCTTCAGTACTGACAGCAGAGCAGGGTTGGATCTGCCAAATTCGGTCTCTAATAGTGTGAAGGCTGAGCCCCTCAGCCAGCTCGGATGCGGATGCTGCAGTCATCAAATCTTGTTTGTTGGCAAAAATTAACAATGGCACCATGCTTAACTTCTCCTCCTCCAGTAGTTCAGCCAGCTCCTGTTAAAATGTATGAGAGAAAGACTATGAGTAGACATTTCTGAAACTCTTTCATAATGCTCCACTTTGTTCCTCAGAGCTTACCTGGCCTGTCTCCTCGAACCGTTTCCTGTCTGCGCTGTCAATCACATAGATCTGTGAGAAAGAATTTTATATGTCATCAAAATGTAAAATGACTCCCTTATGATAGAGAGCTACATAAACTGATCTTGAGTTGCATAAATTCATTAATCTGGTGATCATTTGTACTTCTACTTGTATTTGTATCTTAAAGGGCCCATATTATGGAACACCAAATTTTCCTCACTTTTTTAAATAAAGAAGATGTACAACTTTTGAAATGTATTATTCACCTGCCAGGCCAAAATTGCCCCTGTTAAATTCATTGTTTTTGTGATGTCACAAAAAACAACATATTTACATATATACCTATACCAGCCTACAGCAGTTTAGTCACCCATTCACAATGTTATACAGAATGTTTCAGCCCGGACTGCTTTTGAATGAGGCAAAACTAGGGAAGCAAATCAGAACAGAGCCCATTTACGTATAGTGGTACGCAAAAGTTTGGGTACCCCTGATCAAATGACATGTTTTTGATGTGAAAATAAGTACACATCCTCTACAGAGAACACACTTTAATTCAACATACTGTAAAATATAAAACATAAAATGCGGCCTGTGCAAAAGTTTTTAAGATGGTATGTTTTTTCTGCACCAAAATTTGCAGAAAAATGACACTTTTAAGTATGTTGCTTGCAGATAATGTATTAATACTTTACTTTCACTTATAAAGTCAACAAAACATGCACATTGACTAGGAGCTTTAAAATTGTACATATGGCTTAATGGCATGGTAACAAAAACAACCTGTTAATTCTAAGGAATAAAGAGAAGTTGGTTGTTTTTGGATACAACAAATCACACAAATGTCATAAGTGGAAAAACTGTAAACTCAAATGTAGGATATGGGCCCTTTAATGCATTTTAAATAAAGGTACCAAGAGATCTGTATTCTCAAAATAATTCCTCCAGTAAGGTCGGATCTTCCTCTGGCCCCCGATGTCCCAGACATTCAGCTTGAAACCCTGAGACTGAACGCTCTTTATGTTAAAGCCCTGGAGAAACACAAAAATGTATTATATACATGATGCAGAATGTAATGACTCATGTAAAATTACAGTACATTTTCCAAAACAACTTAAACAGATGTACAAAAGTAATAGGTCACAGTAACTACTTAAAGGGAAAAATCACCAATTTTTCAAAAGTTCTTCAACTTTCAATCATTAAGATGTCAAAAAAGTAATTCAGAGTGGTTTGATGTGGTCAGATTTTCTTTACTGTGGTGTTGATGGGAATCAGGGGTCTACAACAGAGGGTCTACAGCCATTTTGTTTACTATCCCAAACACTCAGTGAGTTTTTTTGTAATGTTGATAATGGTAAAATAGAGGTAAATCTAAAAAATAAGATTCCTTTAGGGACTATTTTGCCCTTTAACTCCTTGCATGTGCCACTCTGCAATAAATACATTTATAAATGCAAAAATATATACATTTTAGGAGAAAAACTCAGTAAAACAGTGTCTCAGACATTAGGCAAAGTATTCGTAGTCATTTCATGTAATAATTTCTGTGAGGTAAGTTTAAAAGGCATTCGGACATCTGGTTCCTATCACCACCACTGCGCAATTGACATCAAATCACTCTGAATGACTTTATATCATATCCATACCTGAGTAGGAGTGATGTGGCTGATGTCCTCTGCTGCCAGCTGTTTCAGCAGCGTGGTTTTGCCTGCATTGTCCAGTCCCAGCAGCAGAATGCGCACTTCCTGATCTGGAGAGTTTTTAAGTTTCCTCAGAACAGACAGCAAGCCCTAAGCCACAATTCAATACACATTAACATGATGAACAGTTTTCCTGTATGGACTGACCAGTTTTATACTTGTTGTGTTTCATGGAGCAAAGTGGACACTGTTCGATGTCCAGTTCTAAACAGTTCTGAAGTAAAGCAGTTCCCTCCTGGCCTGGTTTAGTGCAGAGTCACTAATCCTCCTCTTACACTGCAGACAGGCAATGACTCAGTTAACTCCTGTTCATAGTAGCCATTAAATGCAATTAGTGCCTTGCATTCTGGAGGTCCCTCAATTGAAATATGCAGAACACACATTGATGAGCCAAAACATTATGACTGCTCAGAGATAAAGCTTTGACTATCTCATCACAGCATATGCCAAGGTCTGGGATATATGAGATGGTAGGTGAACAGTCAGTACTAATAATTAACATATTAGATGCAGGAGTTTTTGAAGATCTGAGCAACTCTGACAATGGTCAAACTTGTCATGCTATGGCCGGACGAATGGGTCAGAGCATCACCAAATGGCAAAGCTTGTGGCTACCAGTCAAAAACAACAGTGGTCAAAAGGAGGACAAATGACGAAAAGGTTTAGGGTGTTGGGCGCCCAAGGCTCACCAGAGCGAGAACAACAAAGCCTATCACATGGGAGTACTGATTTTTAACAAAACAACTGAAAATCCTAATTTAAATGTTGATAAAAGCTTGACAAAAAATCTAATGGGTACTATTAGATTTTCGTCCAAAGTGCGACTACACAACATTTCATCACTTTATACCAATTAGATCAAGCTTTGTAGCATTTTTCCTCATCATACTAAACTTAGTTATTGCACATGAATAGGTTAATGTAAATGCACGTATTGTGGCTACTTTTAAGATTGACCACATGAGCCACAGAGGCCTTTCCAGATGTAGCTGAAGGTCTTGGTTGCCAGTTACTTTTTGAAATGTTGTATAAATTAAAAGGACTTTGTACAGCAAATGTACAACACAAACTTTTTAGAGTGCTACAATAATCTATTTGTGACAAACCCCCTCTAAAGGGAAATTACACTGATTTTTCAAAATGTGTGTATAAACTAACATTTGAGATGTAAAGTCATTCACAGTGGTTTGATGTGCAATGGTTCAGTACTTACAGAATCCAATTTCTTTCCAGTGGTAGTGATGGGAACCAGGGTTTTGCGATATTTTAAAGCAAGTATAGCCATTTTATTTATCTAAAATGACCAGTGAACCTGCCTTTTTCTGTCTTCTGTCTGCTATGTTCTATATATAAGTTTTCTTTGAGGAATATATTCCCTTATAATGACCTGCAGGTACGTCTCTGTCATGAACAGATTTTTAAAAAACACATTTTAGGCCAAAACCTTAAAATGACTGTAAATCTAACCTTATGGTCAAACATTATCTGAGGCATAAGGCACAATTTTTCATGTAATACTGTTTCATATACATTTCTATGGGGTTGCTTTAAATCCATGAAACACTACAACATCTGATTTTACTGCTTCACCACCGCTGTAAACAATTCTGACTGTATATTATTCCAGAACGTAGCAGTTCACATTAAACCTCACATTAAACTGACTTTGTTTACACCTTAACCATTTAATTATGCGGATGGTAGAATTAACCCTTAAACACTTCAACATATGTGGTGAAATCCTGCTTCAGTTTGATAGAGAATGTGCTGTATGGTTCTATATAGAATATTTCTGAAAATGGTTCTATGGGGCACCAAAAAGCGTTCTGCTATTGTTACGACATCAGGCTTGTAACAAAAAGATTCTGTGTAGAACCATATACAGCACATTCTCCATCAAACTGAAGCAGCATTTCATCATGTGAACCATAAGGCATGAAATAGTTCTATATAGAACTCATGGTTCTAAATAGAAGCATTACCTTTACTAAAGAACCCTTGAAGAACCATCTTAGGTAAAACGTGAAACAAACTGAAATAACACAGAGAAACGCAGCACTCGTAAATATAGCCATGACACCTGCAGATCCACGGAGCTGCTGCGTTAGAAAGCCTTCAGCCAATAGCAAAGCTTCTTGAGAGGCGTTCCACCAATCACGCTAAGCTTCGTTCTGATGAAGATTGACACAGATTTAACCGGGCTTGCTGGGAACGTACATGTGCAGCTAAAGATACAAGAATAACCTGAGAACACATGAACAAGTCCTTAGCCTAGTTTCTAAAACCTATGGGCCGATTTATTGTGAAGACACGGACTAACTTTACTTCCAGACTGAAATGGAGACGCCCCCACACCATTATCAATGTAATTTAACCAGTGTCGTAATCTAGTACATATAGGCTATGAACAGCAACAGCTTGTTTTAAAATCTTACCAGGCAAGTAAATTAACCCATTCGACGGCTATGCTAATATGATACGGAAAATGCCACACGTTCTGCTTGACCTAAAATGATGAAATCTTGTATAGCTGTAACTTGGATTAACATAAAAGTGTCCATCACAGTTTTGTGATTATATGTCATTTTAATTTTATTTTCTTTTATAAGCTTTTCATTTACACTCAAACTGGAATTGTCCACCGTTTTGTTAACAATCAGCTGTCACACCAGACCAAAATGCCAAATGTATTATGATAAACGATAAAAAAAACATATCGTATTATTTTATTTTAGATTTTGTGCTCAGACAAGTTCTTGGAATATACACACCAATGGAAATGTAGTATTTCAAATATGGACACAAATGGGTTATCTGATAAATTAGAGTGAGTGTGGATGTATGGGAAGATTCTCCACACGCATACTGTCTAACAATATATCTGCTACATTAAATTTTAAATAAAATACTCGGTCATAAGGTGTTGATTCTTTACAGTGCTGCCCTAAAGCAGAAAAACAGGAAAGGCACAGCAGCTTCAGCAGTTCTGCTATGCAAGTGCAACAGGTGACACAGGCACATATACGAAAGAAACTCAATAGCCGGAGATATAAGAGCAACGTGACCACGAACTAACACGGCCGCGTTTCTGCCTCCCTGCACTGCTAACCTGCTAACAACAAAACTGGTAGCTAGTGTGTGACAGGGCATTGTTACTGGTCCTGCTGTTTTGTTTTCCTCCATCATTCTCGGTCAGACACGCTACTCACCATGTTTTGGTCCGCTTGTCGCTGTGTCCTGCAGATCCAGGATTTGACATCAGTCTGGCCTGAGCAAGCTGTCAGCCTCTATCTGTGCCACATGTGACGTCCTACTAAGCCTGAACAACGTTCGTTTGTCTGCCACTTCAGCACAGCTATAAGTTCCTTTTCACTCAGAAAAGCGTGTCTCCATTCATTTTTCTTCAAGTGCTAAATGGTAGTGTGTGTGGGTACCATGAAATCATATGTACACCTTTAAAGAATTCATTAATTACAATTTATAAGAACGACTAAAGTAATTTCAACTTCTTTACATCCTTTTAGAAAACTTGATGGAACTAATAAATTATACTTTAAACATACTATTTATTAGTAGTAGTATATTAGTATTAGTAGTAGCAGTCTAGTAGCAGTAGCAGTAGTAGCTGTGGTGGTAGTAGTGGTATATGTTTTATTTATATAGCCTTTTTCTTTACAGAGCATCCCAAAAGGCCAAGAATGAAGCAAGGATATCACAAGGAAAAAAAGAAAAAGAAGTGCAAAATAGAAAGCAAAAAGGAAAACCTGAATATATATATATATATATATATATATATATATATATATATATATATATATATTAAGATAAATAACTGCAAAGTTAGTTCATGAGGAAAAGGCAAAAACTGACAAGGACAAGGACAAGAAAAAAGACAATCATAACAAAAAATGGGACTACAACATGCAACAAAAGCTGACTATAAGGCTGAGGCAAATGAGTAGTATCGGATGAAAAGGCGTTTTATCAGTGCATATTTAGCGCAATCGAGCAGTTTCGTGAAGTACTGAAACTTGTTACGCCTGCTTGTTTATATTAGACAGACAATCTTAAATTTGACGATTTGGTGAACAGAATATGACAGGGTGCAATAATGACACAGAACAAGACACGAACAGAATAAACGGAATAGATTAATAACAGAGCAGAATGTAACAGTGGCATAATCCACCCGTGGAACATTCTCGCAAGTGAGAAATTGGATTTCCGCGCGCTCGCCCGCTGCAAGCCTGTCTGTTTATATACGGCGTGAAAACCGGCCACGTGACGCGGTATAGGGGTCATACGCCTCTGGCAGAGCTCCAGGAACTCTGTTTGGATGAAAGAATTCCTGACGGGAAAGGGGATATGTTTAGATATCTGCTCTGGAATGAAAATGTCGCCAGGCCTACAGACTGCCCTTATGTGAAGCAACACTGCCGCCTGCAGGCAAGCGCGGACAATCGCTCGGCTGCCATTGCTTTCCCCAGCCTGCCTGTCTGCCTCGGTGCAGTTCGAATGTGAACAAAAACATGTCGCTCGACTCTTCGTCTAGTGATTCTGCGGATACTTTCTAACAGTTTAAACCAGAGCTATATGATTTCCGTCGCTTTTGTGGCGAAGAACCTCGAAAGATGGGGCAGAAAACGCTGGGATCAATTGTAGGTCTGCTTTGCACGGGGACCTGTTTGGCCCAGGTAAGCTGATATGTGTGTTTTTGATGCGGGGCCGCCTGTAAATCAAGCTCCGGGATCACAGCTGGAACTAGGCCCTCTATTGTGCGGTTTTGTTTAGTTTCATCTCGTTTCCCTCACAAAGGAACTTGGCACGGAGACGTATTAAATTCAGCTGCGAGGAAAATACAACAGGACGCTTAATTTGAGCGACTTGCTGTATTTTCTTTATTTCTGTTAACGAAGAATCATCCCTGTTCTTTGTTAGAGATTCTTATTTTATTGGCTTGCGTTCAACAGATTGCTAACGTATGCTAGCTAACCGCGCTAGCCGAATCGTCTAACGTTAGCCGGCTAACGGTAATAGCATCAAGGTGAACAATAGTTTCAATAGTTTGGCTGTTTTGAACAGTCGACAGTGGTGACATTCGGAAGAAATGTTTGAGAATGACATATAGTGTAAATTATGTAGCTAGAGAATATTTTAAACAGCCAGCTCTCTGTTGTTTTGTTTCTCTTGGTTAACGTTAACGCTACAGTTTTACGAAAAGATAACATTAACGTTAGCTAGCTAGCTGGCTAGCCGTCCATAACAACGACGAGTAACATTACTGTTATAACGGAAGTGGTTAATATCCCAACTGTGCGTTTTTACAGAGAAAATGGTGGCTAACTGAATAGTCAGCTCGTTGTGAGTGACAAAAAAGACTTTTTTGCCCATAGTCGGCCGTTACGTTAGCTACATTTTTAGCAATATCACATAAGTGTCCGGCGTTCCCAACATTTTGTGTTTGTCTCTTTATATGCAGTGCTAAGTTACTGAGAAACTTCAGCTAACTAGATAACTCCCTCAGTTGTTTGCATTTAGGTTGGCTAATAACATTTACCGGCACCATAGCTTCATGTCTTCCTTCTTTCCTCAGTGTTTCCGATTTTAAGGGCTGGTGTCTAGGACGTGGGCTAAGCTTTGTAACTAAAGGAGTGTCAGTGCTGTCTGTCTTTCATTTTCTGTGGACACTTGCATATAATAACGAAAATCTTAATCTTAGGTTATTTCCTAAATAATACATTTAAAACAGTACATGTTAATTTTGGTAGTGGTCAAAAAAGTAATTGCCGATGTTTAAGTGCAAACGTAAACAGTGCTCGCTAGCACAAAACAATTTGGCCACAAGTTCTCCCTTAAAGTGAGCTGCATAATGTCTTTTCTAATTGGATGAAAAAAAAAATCCGTAAATGGAAGTTGAGTCCTAAATCCTAAGTTCATCACTTTCGTTTTGGGCACTTGCAAATTTTAAGTTCATATTTGCAGCTTGAAATGTATCCTAAGACATTTGACCTAAAATAAGTAGTTTCTTAATATGTTTTATGCTAGCTGTCCAAAGGTCTTTGCATAATATTTCATGTTCTACTGAATACGTTACTTTGTTTACCTAATGCTTGTCTTCCGTGAAAACACTTGCATATTATCTGCAGTTCAGCTGTGTTTATGGCTGTGGCGCATGTATTTCACACTTGGAGAGCAGCTTCAGATAAATTAGAAAATGCTTTCTGTTTTCTACATAATAGTTAAGTGAATGGTCTAGTTGTGTTGACCCAATGGTGTTGAGGTCTGGCATGTTAGACTGTATTATATCAGATATGCTGTATGTATAGTAAATGATTGACCATCAATTCAAATTCATGTTCTCTCATTTATTGACTCGCTGTATGTATGTTTTCACAGGGAAAGGAGTTCTGTTTTGGTGTGAACAATGAGAAATATAGGTGTGAGATGGGCTACTGTTGTGGGGAGACAGAATGCTGCACATACTACTACGAGCTGTGGTGTAAGTGTTTTTCGCTGACCTGTTTCACACATTGCCCTCCTTTGTCTTCTTTCAGTCGGGACCAGACTGATTTTATTTGAATTAAAAATGTATTGTTACACATAGAGCTCTCCAAGATTTTAGTCTTTGGGTGGTCTTTCATTTTTTTTGTACTTTTCATATTTTTTATTATAATAGTTAGCAATGTATATATTTTTTTACCTGTGTTGCATTTGTTAGCTGTATTATGTTGAAAATCTTATTTAACAAAGCTTTTCCTATTTAATGCATGTTTATGCATTCTCTGCGACATGCTCAGTAAGCTTGTCAAATACTTCCACCAGTGATGCCCTCTGTTCCTTCTGTTTTACCAGGCATGTTATGTAGTCTTAAAATAGATTAACAGGAAGCTTATTCATTGGTGCACTTAGTTAAGTGCAGTGTGTGTGTATATATATTTGTGTGTGCATTTATTCAGGGTTCTGGTTGGTGTGGACACTCATCATTATGCTGAGCTGCTTTTGTGCATACCGACACCGGCGTGTGAAGATGCGACTTCAGCAGGAGCAGAGGCAGAGAGAGATCAGCCTCATGGCCTATCAGGGAGCATCCAGCTCTTTCATCTCCCCACCACCAATCAACCTGCGTGAGTGTACTTGCTTGAGCCTTAGAGTAGTGCATTATCCCCTTGCCAGAAAAAGTTCTTGGAGCATCCAACTCAGGGTTTGTTGTTTTGTTGGAAGGGTTGTTATAGAAGGAACCTTGAGTGTCTGCTCAGGCTGCCTGTAACGTAGCTCTGAAATGAATAAACCAGCTGTTTGTTTTGGCGGTTTATTTTGAAAGGTGCTGATTACGTCTGGGTATGTATCATTGTGGGAACATGGCTCGTGCTGCTAAGGGTGTATGTGTTGCCACCTTAGTGCACAACTTGGGCCAAATCCCAGCGCAGTATTATGTTGTCTCTCACTTCCCCTCGTCTGTTCATGCTGCAGAGGGATTGTTTTTCAACTTGCTGTTTAAGTTCAACTAAAGTAGCCCCAGAGTTGAAAAATTTTGATATGGCTACCAAAGTGTGTTCTTTTTACATAATGTTTATCTTTCGAAAGTAAATTGATAGATGTTTTTTCTGAATTAGTTGCACCCATTGTTAAACAGTTTGCTTCTTATTGTTGTGCTTGAACTAAACATATTCTCTTATTCATTTTCAGGTTTCTGGACAGACTGCAAGCTCCCTGATTATGAGGAAGTAGTAGGCCACCCCCCAACGCCCCCTCCACCTTACTCTGAGATGCCCCCAGAAATCTTGCCCTCCATCCACCCATCTGTAAATCACTCAGAGTCAGCTGTGGTGTTGGAGCGCCCTGTAGAAGAGGTGCAAGCTGAGAACCGAGTTTCTGACTCACTGGAACAAGACCCTGCAGCAGTTGCAGCCCCGTCAGGATGTGAGGAGGGCGGGGGACCGGACGTCCCCTTGGAGGAGGAGTTGAATACCCGGCGGAGGCACGTGACTGGCGACTCAGGTATTGAGGTGTGTGTGTGCCAGCTGGATGCAGATGAGTGCTCCGGGCCTGAGGAGGATGAGGGCAGGCTGTGCCAGGTGGCTGGTGGTGGCTGTTGCTCTGAGCAGGAGGCCCTCAGACCCAAAGAGCGCTCGCACTCACCTGAACCCTCTAGCGCGCTCAGCGGAGACCGTCTGGTCTGATTCACACCTTGCAACGCTTAACGGTTCCAGCAATACGACATGGGGAAGGGGGACAGCAAAAGGTTTTGTCATTGTTAGCCTCATGACCAAGTCGATTATTGAAGGTTTTTTTTTTTTTGAGCTAACGGGTAGGGAGAACCTTTACATGCACATGGAAGGACATTGGATGATGGCTTTTGCATTCAAGTAATATCTAAATGAGTGACTTTTTTCCTATGTCAAATTTTTTTTCTGGAGTGGACTTTTTTTGGTGAGGCTAAGGTTTCAATTTGCCCGTTTCCATGAATCACTGTTGTTTTGCTCATTTTGCCATGAGTTTGAGTAAAGTGCTGCGATTTAGAGTGGAAATAGCAGCACTTTGAAGTAGAGCTTCTTCATCCCAAAGCACTCAGCCACATTGCAGCAGTCAACCACAAATGAGCATTCCCAACCACTCTGTACTTTGTCTGTGTGGCTTGGATTTGGACCTCTATAACTCAACCACCCCACCCCCCACCCACCGTGACATTTTGCTTCAGCCATAGCATCATAGCCCAGCGGTCACTGACTCTCATCACATGGGAAAATGCTCCAGGAAAAGCGTCCCCCTAGCGCAGTGGCGTCGAGGTCTGACTGCATGCTTTGTTTTTCACAAGCCTCTGCTAATGAGAGCACAGCTGCGGGGCTGACATCAGCCGAGCTCCGTCCCCCCAGGACCAAAGTGCCTCTCTGTTAAAGACAAAGAGAAGGGACTGGACAGCACAGCTAAACCACAAGACAGCTCCTTCTAGATGACACTGTTGCGACATACTCACACACTGGCACACCCCCAGACACACCCCTGCCCCTTGGCTCAGAAACATGCTGTGCTCAACAGGGGGTCAGAAGCCAGCAGACGAGTTATGCTATGACCACTGCTCTGGTTTTGGGGGCGACACTGCTATGTGCCAGCTTCTACTTCAGCCCCCCCACGGATGCTGTGCCTGCAAAGTTGACATCTATAAAAAGCCAGTGGTTGGCTAGCTTCTTAACAGACTGATAGTGATATAATGTGTGGCCAAGTCATCCCTCCTTGGGGTGTGGAAAGGGGGTGCTTAAGCTCTTCTAACAGCAGGGTTTTGCTCTTTCAGCCGTGAGAGAAGAAACAGCACACATTGCGGTTTGGAAAACAGGAGGGAGGAAATTAACAGCTGTGAATACTTCTATGATGTGCTAAACGTCAGATTTTTTTCATGAGCTCACGGTTAACAGTAGCCATTTTGTACTTGCCACTCTTAGAAACAAAGCTATCTCTGTAAGGTGCCCTGATCTCTCGAGTTTTAGACCACTTCTGTAAAATGACTTGCATTGAGAAAATGCATGTGTGCAACTGCAAGTACATTTCTCTTTTCTTGCTATGATGTGACACATCGAAGAGGTTTTTCACAGAAAAGCAGATAGACCCAGCCTTGACCAGTACTGCTGCTACTTCTGCTGTTGCTGCTATTTTGACCCTTTCTTGATAGGCTTGAGATCTCCGTGTGCGGGTATGTTTTGGTTTCCTCTCACCCAGATCTCACCTCCCCTAACCCATTTCAAAGCGTTGTAATGAAATAAGCCGCTGTTACTGCTTAGGGTACACTCTTCTAGCTGACTATCCATGACCAGCACATAGAGGCAGCGTGTGCCACTTGTGATATTTTCCGTTCATGTGGGCTGCCTCAACAGTGCAAAGTCAGCTCAGCTGTATGCTTCCCTATATATACATACACATGTGTGGAGGGGTGTTTCATATTTTATGTCTGCTTTCCCCGCAGAAAGGCACTTGGAAACGACCGTCCTGTGGAACGTGTGACACCTGCCACCACAAATAATGGGAGCAGGAAAACACTCAGCTCTCACAGTGTCCTGGAAGTCCACTTGTGGCTTCACCACTCTGCACTGATTGCATTCAGTGGCTATTATTAGTGCTTGCTCTCACTGCTGACTTATTCTTATGTGAATGAACCGACTAGATGCAAAACTTAGATGGCTTGTTTATATTTAACCTCATACTTTCATATGTGTGGATTTATAACCTGTGAAGAGGATGGACACTTTGAAAACGGCTACTGCTTCTTTTGTGGCAGATGTTTTGAGGCACCGCAAGCTGCCTTTCCAAGGTTATTATAGTGCTGATAAGCAGGGGCAGTCCCACGTTTAGAGCATGTCAGGTGGTGGGGCGCTGAACTGGTTGTCCTGCAGCGTTGGCGGTATTGCCTTATTGTGGTCATTTGTGGTAATTAGAGTAATACACAAACATCTTTACTTATGGATTTTAAGTTAATCTGTATGAGCATATGCTCCATAATCATACGTAGAAACTTCAGCTTTAAGTTTAGAATGTCTGAGTTATAGAGTGTTGGTTGTGACGTTATGGATATGGTTCAGGTATTTTAAACAGGTGAAGGCATGATATGTGTGTTCAGTAGTGCAGGTAGTTTGTTGTTCCTCCCTCTCCACAAAGCCTGTTTAGAAAATACTGGTAGAACCTTGAATTTTTGGAAAAAATGATGCGTCATTTCTGAAATGACCATAGTGATTGGTCTAGCTTTGAGAAGTTTGAAGGTGTTGTCCAGTTGATATGTTGATCTTCAGTTGCATGTCTTCTGCATAGCAGTGTGATCTAAATGAGATTTGCTAAACGTAACGTTTTGTTGTTGGGGTGTTGTGGTGTGTGTGTCTGAGATACGGTTGAAAATTAGGGAACGGGGTCTGATGGCACTCAGACTCTGCATAAACCCACAAGAGCGTGGGAGAATATTGCCAAACCAATATGGCACTACATGTTTACCTGTATAAAAGGGCTAGAAAATAACACAAACCTTTGGTTTGAGGTTCATGTGATTTATAGGGTATATGGAAGAATACATGATTGTACACTTTAGGGCCTGTTTCCTAAGAGCATTTGTTTGATGGCAGTATCACTTTATGTGATGCTTTTGGGAAAGTGGACCCCAGATTATATCTGCCTTTTGTGTAATACTGTACTTCATGTGTACTTAGAGACATGCAATGCATCTGATTCTGTCCTCGACCTGTGGGAATATCCCTTGAGTGTCTGTGGAACTTAGCATGACAGCGATGAGAGCTAACTTTGTGCCTCTTGTGGTCCCATTTCACCGAATGGCTTGAACGTGGCAACAGAAACTTTGGTGACTGAACTGTTTAGTCTAATCCTTCTTTTAAATGAGGGGCGTCATGTCTTCTGCAATCACATTTTCAGTTCCGTTTCAGAAATTGCCACATCGCCCTCAGTGCTCTCCTTCTCTCCCAAGAATTTAGTCTGAATTTGACTCCATCCAGTTTCCACAACACATCCAACAGGGATGTTTACACTTTCTGTGCCTTGCTCTTCACAACGAAGCTTTCTCAATGGAAAATTCCCACCTACCCACCCCCACTGTTTTCTGTGTGACTTCACACCTCTGTACTGTACTGTATCTAACTAGGCTATGCAGGAAAGGAAAAAAAAAGCCCACCCACTCATAGATTGCGTGAGTGCGCTTTTGTTGTCAGTACAAGCAATACTATTCTCAGTACACATTGCACTGTACCTTGGTAGGCATACATCTTATTTAAAGGGACGGGAGAAAGAAAAAGAAAACTGTTGCTACTATGATCATTTTCGTGTGTGAATGCTTTTGTAAGGTCATGTCTTTTGCTGTGTAAAAGAGGAATGGAAGGAAAATGAAAAAAGCCATGATAGTTTGTTTGTGTCCTCGTGTCTTGTATTATGATATGATTTAAAAATAGTTTGCAGTCACTCTGTGTCCTCTATTATTCTCCTGTCTGCCTACCATGGGAGAGACTTTTTTGTCTTCTTCTTTTCCATTTTAATAGTGCCACCTCACAGACTACACACAACTTTCATTCGTGTATCTCTGTAACGGTGGTCTTCTATACTTTTGCTTACTAAGAAGTTTTCAGTGACTGAGATCTGAGCTGTTGCCTTTTATGAGGATCTGCCCGAGTGGATATCAAGTGACAAAGCCTGTGTTAGAGGGCTGTATGATTGAACTGTGTCATTTAGTGAAGCTTAGCCTTTTCTGCATGTCATATGAAGGCCTTCCTCACAGGTTAGGGCAGTTATTTCCTTCACAAGGCAACCAACCATTTTAACCCTGTAATCAGTAACAGTCATTTAAGTTCAGTTAAAAAATATGTATCTCATGTATGTAACTGCATTTCTTGGACACTTAGTGCTAAGGTGGCACCTAGAAGGTTCTTCTTGTTGGTTTTGTGCGTAGAATAATTTTGCCAAAACAACAAAAAAAATAACAAATGTTTGCTTGAAGTGGTCATTGAAGAGCACAGACCCTTTTCCGTTGTTCTTATCACCTAGATCAAGCCAGAGGGTTAAAATGTGGAAACTGAAATACAAGCACTGAAATGTGTGGTATAATGTAATGCTAGGGTTTAGGAAGAGGTTGGCTGTGTACTCTTTAGTTATTTGTATTTTATTTTTGTAATAAAATATGTAATATGCCACTCAACCGTCTACCTGCTTTTCTTTGCTCTTTGCTAAGCTAAGAGATTTGAGAGAGACATCTTAAGCTGACATTGATGCAACAATCGTGATTACATAAGGCCATCATGTAACCACTAATGTTACATGGCTGTCTTTAAGTCCAAAAATGTCAGAGTTTATAGAGTGCTGTTGAAGTGAATGGCAGCAAAAAGGAATTTTCAAATGAGAACTTTCCAGAAAACATGATACTCGGTGGTAGTTTTGCCCAAACATGTCACTGTAATTCCTTGTAATTTCCCCTCGCAGGAATAGTAACTCGAAAGCACTTCGAACAAACAATGGCCACAATCCGGAGTTCTGCTAAAGGACATTGCTTCAATGACAAAAGTGACCTTTTTCCCCTTGCAGTGCTGCCAACAAAGGGAAACAAAGGGCATACACAATAAGCGCAAAATCAATGCTTCTTGGATGCATCCGTTTGATATTTTCTTCCTCTGCATTGATTGTGCTTGAATAGTGAGTGCAAACTGGGATGACTGATATTTTTCGTAAGAAATAAGGAAGGTTTTGACAATTAATATTCTAGTATTTGTAAATATTTAATACTTTTTTGTTTACTTTGGCTACTCATCTGAAAATAATTTTAGTGTGTGACAAGTATTCAAGTGTGTATTATATAAGAAAGAAGCTAGAAGTCTGACAGACAATAATGGCACATGTTCTTTCAAAGTGACTTTTTGTAATCTCATAAAAGTGACCCTTTTACAGCAGCAGTATGACAGCAGTGGAGGATCTGGATGTAGGAAAATGTCTGAATTCCAAAGCTGCTGTCAACCAAATGGATGAAAGGAGGGCAAATTATTACATTTCATGGATATATGCAGTACCATGAAAAAAAGCTAGAGATCACCACTCTTTTAATTCATTTCCAGTTCAGATGGCTATGAAGTACAAGTAATTTTTCAGTGCCAGAAAAGGCAGAAAATTACATAGAAGCCTCAGCAAATAAATATAATATGAAATATTTCAGTATTAACTGTCCGTGCTTTGCCTTTAATAGAGCTTCCATTTTTTCCGGAGACTTGCTTTTAATTTTTCAAAGAAATATATAGGGATATTTTTCCACACCTCCGACGTTAAGTCTTAGAGGCTGGTTGTATTGTCACCATCCAAGTAACCTCAAACACTTCTAATAATGATGTTGAGGTCTGAGCTCAGGGGTATTTAGTTTATGGATCTGGGAAAACCAGCAGCTTTTTTGTTTGATTTGCAAATTTTCTTCTTTTCTGATCTATTCCCTTTTCTCTTTAACATCTTGACAGCTGCACATCCTTTCAGACCCATAGTGTTGTTGTCTCATCACAGTGGAAAGATAGAAACAGTTGTGGAGCTTGATTTTCTCTGCTCTTTCAAAGATGAAAGCTTTAAGTACTGTTTATCCAACTGTAATGGTTGTGGGGCTCTACCAGGTTGTGCATGGTTGCTAGGAGTCCCATTTTCTCTACACATTTTAACTCCTCATTTTTCACTTATTTTTCTTTTACTTTCCCCTTCCTTATGCAAGTGGATTATCTACTCTCCTCAGAATTAAAAAAAAAACTGTACTTTTTGTCTGTTTTGACAAGAAATGAAAGAAAAGAATAGTCTCTTTTGCTCTGACTCTTGGTCAGACTTTTGCACGATACTGTATCTGGATTTCTGGACCTGTATTCACAAAGCTTCACAGTAGGAATGCTAATCTAGGATCTGTTCCTGTCAGAGGAATCTGATCCTAGGTCAGCACTCCTACTTTAAAGCTTTGTGAATAGTGTCCCTGCTTGGCAGTTTCTCAGTGAAGAGAGAAAAACACAGCAGTTAAGGGCAGGTTGGACTTGGAGTAATGATACCTTTTACCAGACAGCGATAACTTTGACTACAGCGCCCTCTCTTGCCAGTGAAATTATTTCAAACATGCAGAATGTGACAAATAAGAACTGCAATGCTAATGCCTCACTCTGATTAAAAAAAACAGATTCAGTTCATTACACCAACTAGATTTTAGTGTTTCATGCATGTCTGCAGTCTGACAATATCAGCAATCTAATAAAACTATGAATGGCTTTTAATGCTTGATTTAAAACACAAAGGTAATAATTACTTCTTATGAGCAATGAGGTCAAAATAATAAATATAATATTATAGCTTTAGTTCTATAGTCAGTTTTCAGACCTACTGCCTCTTGAAAATGATAAAAACCAGAGGTGTTGCATGAACATTTCATGCAATTAAGTACCATCAAATGTGGCTTCTGATGCTGGGACGGCTTTACAGACTGGTAGGAGGAAGACACTTTTGGTAGGCTTATCAAAGGCAGTGGTCCATACTTGATCATCGCAGCTAGATTTGCAAGTCAGAGTAGAAATAATGAATTATAATTTACAAGAGAAACTGTAAATCAATTATTTCATAGTTCAAATACTCTCAAGACTTTAAATGCCCCGTTTGTTTGGGTTCAGACAGGCAGAATGTAACCCAAAACATCCTATTACCATGTTTTCTTTGCTTTTAGTGTTTAAAAGTTCTTCATAGTTGTATCTCTATGATGTCCTTGTGGTTCCTTCTTGTAGTGACTTTCTTATACTGTTACAAGTCATTGGCTCAGAGGGCACTGAATGAGCCTGTGGGGTGCTGTTGAGTCCACCAGTCCAAACCGCAAGGTCTAAGTCACTGTCTCAAAATCTCAGGCCTTCAGTAGTTGCAGTAGTTGTGAAGAGTTGCTTTGTGCTCAGTAGAAGCGCTTGCGTCTGCTCTCATTCCAGTGGCTGTAGACCACAAGCCCTACAACGATGAGGAGAAAAAGGCCAAGCATGGAGAAGAGGACGGTGAAGAAGATGGCAATGCCGCTCATCCCTTCCCCTTCATAGTAGTCTGAGGGAGAGAAAAAGAGGGTTTGTTTGCATTTTCACAAACTAGACAATCTTGAAGAGCAGTTTCAGGGATGTACCTAGAAACTAAAGACTGAAAGAGTTTCTTAGTTGCCCGTATGTCTCCATTTATTTTCAAGGGTAATTCCTGCAAAATTCCATCATTAAGATGTAATCACAGCCGTTCAAAGTGGCTTGATGTAAAAAAGATGCCCCATTCTAGAGAAACAAAATGAAAATTGTTACAAATAAGAATAAGACATTGTTTTATGATAGTTCTGCTATAAGGTTCTGGCTTAAATGATTATATAAAAAAATAAAAAATAAATAAATATATATATTGTGGATGAGACGAGAAGGTTACCCAGAATATGACATATTATTTGAATCTCTTTAGAATGTTGCAACATGTGCTGATTTTTGAGACCTTCTAGCCTGATTCTCATTGCCAGACAGGTTCTATTTAAGTGATTAGATTCAGCAGGTCTGGCAGTAATCATGCCTGAGTTTGGATACTGAAATTGAACCCAACAGTTAATTCAGCTTTGATAACTGGTTGATTTAGTAGCTTTTACACATACTTTTTTTTTTTTACTTTTTCCACATAGGGCCAGGTAGGACTGAACAGCATTTTTCCTTCAATAAATGAAATAATTTAAAAACAGCATCTTGTTGTCTTTGTCTTATATTAAAATTAGTTGGATGATCTGAAACATTTTAATGTGACAAATTAGCAAAAACAGAGGAAATTCAGTGAAGGGGCAAATCCTTTTTTGAAGAATATCGATACTAGATTTTGTGTGTATGTATGTATGTTCATTAGTGGTTTTGAATAGTAAATGAAATGGCTATATCTGTGTCGTAGATGTTGAGATCCCATATTATCACTACTGTAAAGAAATTGTCAGTGAGTTTCTCAAACCACCATTTCACATCATTCTTCATTCCTTTCTTATTTTCCTGTAGTTGAAGCGTGAACTCCTTAGAGACCTATTTAAATCCCAGTCCCTCTTTCTATAGTGCTGTAAACTATTAAAATCATAAGCTAATATGCTGCTCTGAGCTTGTTGGCCTAGTAGATGCGTTGCACTTTACTAATGGGCACAAACCAGCAAAAAAGAATGTGACCGTCACAATAAACAGATCTGCTGCTTGTGTCATAATGTTTTAGAGCCTGCTGGCGGAAGACAGTGTGGATTGGATAGATGGTGGGTTGCATTTCACTTACGTTGCCCTTGTTTGTCCCTGATGCATCTTATGTAATCTTCCAACCATCGTTACACAAAACCTTACATCAGCTACTCAGTTATATGTGCTCAGTTATGCTGCTCAGTAGTGCTCCATGATATGGACATACAGTCTCCTCCGAAATTATTGAATGTCAAGGCCAATTCTTTTGTTTTTGGTATACATTTAAGACATTTGGATTTGAGATCAACAGATGATTATGAGATGATAGATTAGAATTTCAGCATTTATTTCCTGATATTTACATCCAGATGTGTTAAACAACTTAGAACACGACACCTTTGGTGGAGCAAATTTTTGAACAAAATTATAGGAACAAATACTCTTAAAGGAATTAAAGTAAATAACACCTAATAATTGGTTGCATTTCCTTGCTGGTAGTAACTGCATTAAGCTGGCAATCCACTGACATCACCAAGCTGTTGCATTCTTCTTTTTGATGCTTTTCCAGGCTTTTGCCAGTCTAAAACCTTCCACTGTTTTACCTGGTCCTTTGCTGTGTTGACAGTGTGTCAATGTGTTGCGGCATGATTAAGTTCCTCCCGATTAAACTGTATGCATTTCTCCATAAATTATCAGACAGAATGTTTCTATAGACTTCTGAATTCATTCTACTCATGAGTTACATCATCAATAAGGATTAGTGAGCCCGTTCCAAAAGCAGCCATGTGAGCCCAAGCCATGACACTACATCCATGCTGGACCAATGAGCTTGCATGTTGTTGATTATGAGCAGATCATTTCTTTCTCCATATTTTGGCCTTTCCATCTTTCCACTTTGGTAGAGGTTAATCCTGGTTTCATCTATACATACAACTCTGCTCCAGAACTTTTGCAGCTCATGTCTGTACTTCTTTTTAAATTCCAATCTAGCCCTTGAATTCTTACTGCTGACGAGTGGTTTGCATCTTGGGTTATGGCCTCTATATTTCTGTTCTCAAACTGTTCTTCAATTGGTGTATTGTGATGCCTACACCCCTGCCCTGTGGAGGTTGCTGGTGACATCACTGACTGTGTTTTTAGGTGTTTATTCACAGCCCTCACAGTGTTTCTGTCATCAACTGCTGTTGCTTTCCATAGCAGACCTGTTCGATGTCTGGATGTTTGTATACCAATAGTTTCTTTCTTTTTCAGGACATTCCAAATTGTTGTTTTGGCCACAGCCAATGCTTGTGCAATGGCTCTGGCTGATTTTTAGTTTCAAAATGGCTTGTTTGTCACCCATAGACAGCTCTCCGGTCTTCATGTTGGTTTATCCTTTTTAACCCGCAAAAGCAGTTTTCACAGGTGAAAACCCAGAGCTCAAACCAAGAGTAGACATTTAGAGCTAGTTACTGTTTCAGAACAATTAATGTAACAGGGCACACATTGGCAACAACAAACACCTATCAGTCACATGTTCCACTGTTTTGTTCACCTGAAAAATGGGTGAGTTCAAACAAAAGGTGCCATATTTTAAGTTCTTTAACACATCTAGATGCAAATATTAATAAATAAGGGCTGAAATTCTGATCTATTGTCTCATTTATATTTTGATCTCAAACTCAAAATATCTTCAGTGTACAGCAAAAAGTTTGGCCTTGCTGTTCCAATACTTTCAGAGGAAACTGTATAGTGTGATTTTCGCTAAATCTGAGGGACACTGCAGTGATGATGAGGGGCGATAAATTACGATTAAAAGAGCTTATACTGTATTTCAATTTGTAGGAGATATCAAAAACATTAGGACTTTGTTTTCACTAATTTGGTTTCTTTTTAGTTTGATGCTGATTGCTGATGTTATCTGATACCAAGGAATGCCAGTATATTTTTATAATTCTAATTAACTTCAATATTTACCATTGGTGGTCTTACATATGTCTACATAATAAAAAAAAAAAACATCTCTTTGGTGTGCAGTAGAGAGATGCTGATATTTCTAGCTTTTACACTTTATGAATCTTAGACATAAAAACATGCAAAACTTGTGAAATAACGTCTTACTCCTGTGTAGCTCCATATTGTCTACACTTGGAATTGTGACCTCTTCTTCATCCTCTTCCTCCTGTTTACTTCGCAGCACTGTCAGCTGGTACAGCTTCATAGAGATGAGGTCGTGGTTGTCTGCCAAAAATAGTGCATATTAAATGCAGATTCTAAAAGTGCAGTATAACTGTTTTCCATCTGAAGAAGAGACTACAGTGATCTTTTCTAAATGGATATTACCTGAAAGGTCTCCAGTGATGGCAGATGCACCGAAGTAGTAGCCCAGAGGCAGCCGCACACCTGGTATGTCCAGGCAGTCCCTCCATTCATGCTGACCATCGATATCAATCATAACCTGCAGACAAGCAGTAATATAGTAAACCACTCACACTGCATACTAAGCTAATACAGCAATGTGAAGCATAGTGTATAAAAGGGCCTGATCAATTTTTGGGGTCAATACAGATTTGCTTGTTTGTGCAAGAGCTGCTTGTGCAAAATTGAAGATATGCAGTTACTCTCGTAGTTAAACAGGCTAAATATAACAACACTGGTTTCTTTTTACTCCTTGGATCCACCTCCAATTCCCACCCATCAACACAAAGCACGCGCATAGAATCAACTGTGACGGGCAGAATTCATTTAGAGTTTGACAGCATTACCAAAGAATTGTCATGACTTCCCTTTCTAGTGATGATTTAGGCTGTCTATTAAGGCTATTGCCTTACTTTGTTATTTTGATATTGATAATAAAAGTATGGCATCATGCTAACATGGCTTGAGAGAAGATCAAAATACTCAATATGGCCTATATCTCAACAGAGCACACAGAGTACAGCCCTATTCAGAGCTAAAACAACAATTTTACAAGATGTTAATAACATATATGATTATCAGCTGACTTATCTCAGGGTGGCTGTGCTTGCTTTCAGGAACCAAACTGAAAGATCTAAGCATAAGAAGAGGGCTACAATACTGCTCTCCCCCAGCAAAGTATTAATTTAATGTACTTGGTGAATTATGATAACATACTATTATATTTTTCTTATTCAGAGAGACCTTTTGACTAATCATTATGTTATGCAAGCACTGTCCAGATACTTCTTCATATAGCTGTGGTGTTTGGCCAGAGCAAACATCATACTCCCTTGTCTCTTTTATGCAGGGGGGATTGTAAAGCCTATAAACACTTAGCATCAATTCATACCAAGAAGAGTGTCTTTGCTGTACTGTTTTTCTAATGATCTCCCAGAAGTTTTTTACTGAACCGTCACCACCAGGCAAATTTTGCCTCTACAGCAGCATTTAAGACAAAACGGAAAGTTCGAATAAAAAGCCAACTTAAGCCTTGTCTTGTTAGCTTCATGACCTGCACGCGAGTTTGATGCAGCTGACTAGGATTACATAAATCTCTAGGATGAGGATGGTTCATCCAAAGTATTACTTTACCTGGCTCTATCAGTTTAACTCTTTATACGTACTGCTTTTATACATCTGTCCAGGAGGAACACTTTTTTGTCAGCACATTGTGGTTCTCCCCCATGGCACTAAAAGCGGCTGGCAAAGGTCACTAACTGGATTCCACCATTTTGAGCAGACAAGATGGGGGCAGAGTTATCTGGTGTAGGGGAGGGTCTTATAAAATGACTGACAGGAGGTCAGTGTAAACACAGACATGTCCTTCGCTCCACCCTACAGTTTTCCAAATGGGGTTTCTCAGATGCCATTGATAAAACAATTATTATTTTATCATGTTTTATATAAATTGACTAATGCACCTATAAGGGGCTTATCAATTTAACGCTAATTATAGGTAATAGCCATAAAATCTATAAATACAATTTATTGTTTATTCCCATTTTGTAAGCATGAGCATTCTGCGCTCCGATCTGTGATCTGAAACTCCAGTCCTGGTTTTATTCCATTGCGAGGTCTTTCCTTAGTTGATATTTACAGATGTAAACGCGACTGATTTTAAACTCACGGAAACTTTTGCTTCAAAAATTTCCCCCAAAGAAAATGAAGAGGCCAAGAAAGATTCACTAAATAGTAACGACAATTAAGTTAGCATTTTGCTTTTAGCCTATGTGACAAAGCCGGTTAACAGCCCAATGTTCAACAAAGACTCACAGCTCAGCTAAAATTCTTCAAAGAAGGTGCTCTAGGCACTGTTTGTGCGATATAATTTGAGGCTCTGCTTCAGTGTAGAGCTCTGAACATTTAAAGGAGCAAACTAACTAACCATGAGCAACCATGAGCTATGATGTGCAAGAACTGGTGTTAATGTGTACATATTGAAAACTTGCCTTGCGCTTTGATGTGGCTTTTTAAAACTTGTACTTGGTGAAAAGGCCTTAACCAGTTCTGCCTGTATTTCTGTATTGGAGGGGTCCCTCATATTGGGCTCGTCAGTGGCACAGCCATCTTAGGGTTTGCCCTAACATCAGGAGATTGTGATTTCAAATTCCAGCATTATCAGAACTTGAAAATAAAATCTAAAATTATCAGTATGAGGCAGATAAAACCACAGGTCATCAATATTGACCAACATCACAACACTGTTCTTTCTGTTTGAATTACTAGGGTGCCACCACTTTAAAGAACAGAATGTTATCATGAATTGAATTCTATATCCATGATCCAACATCATAGATATAATCAACTGATATCACACATATCACACATATAAAAAATGATCACAGTGTGACATCAATGTTAGCTGAATATTTTTTGGCTAGAGAACTAATCTCAGCCATGTATTGACACTGAGCCAGAAATTATGAAAATCTTGTATGAGTGCCAGTCACACTACCACATCAGTGTCACTGCTGCGCTGAGAATGGTCCACTACCCAAATACTATCTGGTCAGCAATGATCCATAGTGGTCCCTTTCCAGTGATGGATGCAGTAGAGGACTACAATCAGTAACTGTATACCTACAAAGTGAGACTATATGGTAGGTGTACTTGATAGAACTGTCAATCAGTGCAGGTACAAGGTGGGTGTATGTAATAAACTGGCAATTTAGGCTATTTGTTCAATTTTTACGTATTCTACAAGTTACATATTCTCCTGCAGTGCTCACCGTTAGTCTGCGACGGACGTATCTGATGAAGAGGAAGGTGTCGTGCTTCAGGTTGCGCACCATAGCATTGCAGCCTCCTATCTCTGTGGGCCTGCCGTCTCGCTCATGGTCATAGCTGATCGTCCCGTTCCCCACCATCGCCAACACGTAAGGGAAGATCCTCTGATACAGCAAATGAGAGGACTTAATTAAAACAATATTTCTTGTGTAAAGTGTCTTAAGAAAATATTTAGTTTTGACCAGGTCCTAGAGTGGTTCTGAGCTGTAAATGCATTTTGCAGGACAAGTGTTCCTTAATGAGTTTTGGTATTAGGAAGGTTCGGTGTGGCCAAGAAACTGGGCTTTACTCAGTTACATTATAAATTATAAATTAAATCACTGAATCAGCATAGGTCATTGTATCATACATATCATGCATATTATACTAACAGTGCAAACAATACAACTCATAACTATATTACTATTGCAACTTGACATATGTTAAAAAAGAAAAGAGTTAAAGGGGAATTCCAGCAATTTTTCAAATTTTCTGCCAAATTAATGGTTACAATGTAAACCAGGATAGTATGTTGTGAATGGGTACCTGGGTGCGAGGGGTGTACCTTTTCTTCTGGGCCTAGCTCCATGAAGAAGCAAAGAAAAAAGCAAAAGACATCACTCAAGAGACATATATATGATATGATAATATGATCATTTTTACAAAATCCTACTGAATTCAATGACTGAAAAATGAGCATCCTCACATACTGATGAAAAAACTAGAATCCAGAACTTTGTATTAAGCCAAAGATAAACTGCGTTCTTTTTGACCAAAGTATACGTCAACTGAATATCTTTAATCAATCAGATGCTATGTAGACTAATGCCTGGCACACAGTATAGGATAATCAGATCAACCTTGAGGCAAATTTATCCCTCTCTGCAATCGCACAAGTCCAAATTCAGTGTGTTCTGATCTACTCTTGATTTAGTCGCAGTTCGTTTTCAAATCGTACATATTAAACACTTTCAATATTTATGACTTAACTTCTTCTAGTTTAGGGGATGCATCGATCGTTTCATATGAAATGCAGTGTTAGCGTCACAATAAGGATTAACATAGCATTAATTTACACTAGTGCTCCTGTGGGATTTACAGTGTTATCTCATTCGCAATCTTTAAACAACCTTAGATGTCCAATTGCTGCTTAGCATGCCTGCATTTGACATGAATAAGTTTTGAATTTAAAGCTTCAGAAGAAATAGATGCTTTGGTACCTATAAAAGCAAATCCCCATAACCCAACAGAGCACAGTGTGTTGTTTTCTACCGATTTTCAAATCCAAACAGAAAAAAAGCTGTCAGAGGTCCGCTATATTTATACATCTTCTGGGTCTAACTGCTTTTTAGTCATATTTTCATATAGTTATATTATATCTTTCTATAGCCTATAAGAGGAATGTAATTAACCGATTTTAGGAAAGTTAAGTTGGGGCTGTAATGCTAGAACAGAAATTTTAAAAGAAGTTGTGGTTTTGCTTGAAGCAAACCAATATATTTTTGAGCCCAGTTTCTAAACACATGTTTAATATTGAATTGAATTTGACATAAAGCTTTGTTAAAATATGGTGTCTAAAATATGGTGTGTGTGCACTGCTGTGAGTCGCTCTCACACCTGAAATAGTGATTTAAAAGTCAGAGGTGTTGGGTCGGATTTTGCAGGAGTTTTTTTGGGCTACATCTTACATCTTCCTATTAACATCAAACGCACAGCCACAAAAAAAAGTTCCACCTCGATGTTTAGCTCTCAAATGCAAAATCAACATTATACTGATGAAAACTTGATGATTATAATAGATAATTCACTTACATCCTCAGAAGACACACTTTTCATCAAGGTTCAAAGAGTTCTCTTCGAATACTCTTTTAACTTGCAATCATCAGATTCACCCTGTCATAAGAGTCTGCAACCAACCTTACAAAACATTGTGCAATTGTATCAAACCTGAAAGTGTGTGTATTGTTACACCCCACGGATTTAGAAGCCTAATCTAAAAGTGTGTGATATTTTGTTCTGTGTGCATCTTTGATGACTTAAAGATAACCAGGGACAAATTTCTGAAACCTATAAAACATTTGGGGAACATTTGTTTGCACTTCAGAAATCCTGTAGTTTGGGTCAGGCATAACAGAGAATATAAGACAATTCTGGTGGAGTCATACCTCTATATGCTTTTCCTCATTAGGGTAAGTATCTACAAACACGCCCAACCCAGTGAAGAAATCCTTATTTCCAAACACTGGACCTGTAAGAATATCAATGCAACAAAGGTAAAGGAGATGTTGCTATTATTACTCCAATATACACAGGACAATCGTATATCACTCTTTAAAAATGGTTCTTCAGGTATTCTGCAGTTCAGGCAAATGTTCTGTACAGAACTATCTGAATGCATAAATAGTTCTTCTCTATGGTATAAAATGAGTCATAGACAGTTCTTTAAGAACCCTTTTAAAATGGTTCTTTATAGCACCAAAAAGGGTTCCATTATTGATACAAGTCAAAAACCCTTTCCCAGTACAACAGAGAACCCTTTTTAGCAGTTTTACCTTTCTGCATGCGTTCTTTTGTGTACCACACCGCCAGGCCATCGCCATTCAGGTTCTTCTTCCCTTGACCATGGATTTTAAAGTGCACCTGCAGCTCCCAGTCTTTCAGGTGGCATGGCTACATGCACACATACATACATACATACATACATAAATAAAACACACCCATACATAAACCCATTTTCAACTACCAAATTAACATTGAGCTTTTTGTGACTCTTCAAACAATGGAATTCTTCAGATTTACAAGTGTGAAATTAAACAGTACTAAACAAAATGTGGGAGGGACATTTCTAAAATGTATTTCTACTGTTATCAGAGTTTAAAAGGTTTCACCTGTCTTATGATTCAGACTATTGTATGAATGTTTTTTAAAACGTGCATTTAATTATACTGCTGTTCTAATGATCAGTTTTGCAAAGCAGTGGCATGCAATGAATGCTGTAGAACAGGCCTCTAACTCAAGGCCTAAAGGGCCATACAGTCAGATTTTTTCACTTCCAACAGACCTGACCGAACTCATCAGCCAGGATTGGAATTCACAAATATTCATTCCTCTCTAACAGTAGGATCGCCACTCTGTGCTGTAATTTTATAACATACCTTATAAAATAGCTAAATTATCTGTTATGGTATTGCAGTATCAGGTGTTATACCATTCAAGTTAGTATTGATAAAAGTTCATTATTCCTGAGTGCTGCTAATCTAAAAGAATATCTAACATCCTTGTTTTTCACTGGATAATATGGATAACGCTCTCTTCCAATTAAGCGTGGTAAAAATAAAAAAAAGATGTAAAATTACAAAATAAAATTACATCTTTGCAGAAGCAAATCTTTTATTAATTTAGGAATCTTATCTTACAACATTGTATCTTAAGGTAGGAAATCTTAATCTACTCAATCAAAGTCGACAAACAACTGTCACGTCTGTTACCTGACAAACAAACATACACGCACAGCTGAAACATAAATGCATTATCAAAATAATCAAGTTAGTTAGCGAGACAGCTAGCTACTGTTATTGATGTAAAAAAAGGTCAAACAAAACTGAAGTGCTGTAAATTTGGACTGTGACAGAGCAATGTGCAGTTTATCAGAGTGTCGCCGCTCTATAGTTTCAGTTTCCCAAGCGCTTTAGCTGACTAATAACGTCTTCCTAATAAACAGACACACATTCAGCTCTGCCTCCTTATTATCCACCACCATCACTGTAATATTTTATCTGATGAGTTTTTATCAACATTAACACACAAAGGTAATAAGAGGCGACGGTGGAGGTCATGTCTGCAGTGTCTGGGATTTTTAAAATGCTGTTAGAAAAACCCTCATAAGTCAAAGCGCCATTTTCAACATAGATAACTGTAACATCATTATGCTAGTTTTAGTGAACTATGCTGCATAAAATGATAGAGGCAGACGGTTAAATTGTTAAAGACACCTCTGGGGTTGCCTTAAAGTTAGGACAGATTTTAGGAAATTTTGTCTAGTTAGGATGTTTATGTAATACTGTTTTCTTATCTGGAGCTGTTGTAGGTTCTGTCCTAAATTCAGTCCTAACTGTACTTATTATGGTGACTAAACAAATAAGAATTTAGACTTGAGAAGGTTCTGTAATACGGCCCCACGTTCCTATCACTACTGCTGTGGACAATTCTGACTTTGTAAGTTTCTCTAGAACGGAGCATTTCACATCAGACCACTCTGAATGACTTCCTTTAGCCATGTGATTATGCAGAAATTTTGAGAAATCGGTGGAATTCCCCTTTAATGGCCATGCAGTACTCACCATACGGCTCCACACTGCCCCCTGTTTGCTTTGCATGTCGGGAGTTAGGCGCACCTGATCAGTGGTTACCATGGCATCACCCATCAGCTCCCAGTGAGAAGAGCCAGAGACACCGATAGCTGACAGAAAAGAAGGACAACACACATATTACAGTGATTAATGCACTACTGGGAGTGGCCATCAAAAGGTTTGCATGGTTTTAGTTCTTCTCGTATCCTAATACTTAAAAGTTAGAGCGTTTTGAGCTTGTGGTACGCCTACTATAATCAGAGATATTCTAAAAAAAATTCTACTGGAATTAGCCTACTCTTTACAGAAAAAAACATCTATGGTAACACTGTGAAAACTATGCTTTGACGTCTATACCGTTGTACAATACTAATAGTGATCTCGTAATATTTGCCCCCTCCTATTATATTTCTACTGTCTTTTAGTAATATATATAGCGAACTACAACATTTGTCTGAATTTACTATAAGAATCCTACAAGAAACCTCTAGACATTTATGTCGTATTACTATATAGGCCATCTTAAAGGGCTAAAATTTATTAATTTCTCATCAGCCTAATGTACGTAACGCATGTTTTAGCTGCTAAAGCGAAATGACCCGATGATAATAATGCTTTATAATAGGCTACAACACTAAAAACACAGTTCATGTTTGAATTATGTAATAAGTCTCATTTTGCTAACTGACATAATTTGGTGCTGCATGCATATTGAGACACTGGTTAGCAGCTACAGGACACAGCCTACCTTGGTAAGGTTTCGTTAATGAATATTCTCTCTTTAAAAACTCTTCCATTTCATGTCCATCGTCGGATAAAGAGGAATGTAAATAAGCAATAAACATCACATACGTTGCTATCATCATTCGGGCCATTTTGCGCAGATTTACTTCCAAACCCGTTCACTCGCCCCTCTGTGTTTTCAATGATAAGGCAAGGCGGCGGCCATCGTAATGCTAGTGCACACCTCCGGGAGCAGACGATTGGCTGATGCAAATACATGGCGCGTTGCTATTGGCTAAAATGCTACTCTATCAAATCGTGAGGATATCAAATGTCCAGCCGCTGTAGTGGCCGCTGAAATCAAATGTTGACCCGTTTTGGCCATCCAAGCACTCATATAAATGTATGTTTTGTACAATAAAATGTAAAAGAAAAGTTATTCACTCGTTACGTTAAATGATATTGATAATGAATGAACAGTGATTGAACTGTACAGTTTTGCACCGCAGGGGGTTCATAAAAAGCCCACAATGTGACCCATACTGTGCTGTTGGGAATGTACAGCAAGGCTGGCAAGGACGATTTCGAAAGCTAATAAATCGTTCAGAAAATGTGTATTTAATTTTTTAAGTTCTTAATTTTTCTCCTTGATCAAGCTCAATAGACCGCTAACTTCCGGGATGAATTATGTAAGCAAGACTAAGGGACTGTCCAAAAAATTTTAGATCAAAAAGATACGTGTCAACAAGCGAGGAATTACGTGACAGTGGAGGACTGGCGTCCACAAAACATTTCAGTGAAGTAATTCTGGACTAGGACTAGATTCAGAACGTTAAACCAGTTTTTGAGCACATGTATTTGTAAAATACTGGTAATACAAGACCAGGTCTACATTTTATCCATGCATCCATTAGCATATATCTTCAGAAACTGTTGCTATATCAGTACTGTTTCTTTGGGAATGCCTGCGTTATATCTATGTACCCACAAACCATGCAAACACTGTTCCTAGATCTGTAGAGTTATTTTGTGAAGTCTGATATGGGTCCAGAGTGTTTGGTAAAGTGATAACAGCATTAAACATTTAGTGCTAGCTTATCTGATGCCGTGCAGGTCACTCCTAATTGTAGACTCTAAATGGTCTTACAGCGAAAGCCTTGCCCTGCACAGTATTCTGACTGATATGGATTCACTGTAGTTCTTTTTATACTAGGAGTAGACTTGAACCTTGAAGGTGTAAATTAGTTCAAGACGAGATTCATTTTGTTAGGAAAATTGGCCCTGAGATCTGATGTACCTCTGTTAAACCAGAGAGGGAAAGAGATGTTGTTGTTGCAAACTCTAATGGAAATAATATGCCTTCTGTTTTTAAATGATGTAAACATACATACATACATCATCTAAACCGCTTATCCTTCTGGGTCATGGTGGGGTGCTGGAGCCTATCCCAGCTGTCATTGGGCAGAAGGCAGGATACACACTGGACATGTCACCAGTCCATCACAGGGCAGACAGACATATACAATCACACACACATTCACACCTAGGGGCAATTTAACGTGTCCAGTTTGCCTGACTGCATGTCTTTGGACCATGGGAGGAAACCGGGGTACCTGGAGGAAACCCACGCAGACAAGGGGAGAATATGCAAACTCCACATAGAAAGAAAGAACCCTGGTCGCCCGGCCAGGAATCGAACCCAGGCCCTTCTTGCTGTGAGGCGACAGCGCTACCCACTGCGTCACCGTGCCGCCCATGATGTAAACAAATTTTTAAAAATAAAAAACATCTTGACCATGTTCATGTTCGCCACATTTGACACCAGTGTAAATGGTATGTGTTTTCATTATCTGTATACAATTACATGAGTGGAAATGTGTCTGCCGAGCACTGACAAGCAGGTGAAAGAATAAACAATGAGACAAAAGATGGGAAATGCACAAGGCTGAAGTTAGCCCCAAACCACGTCTTCATGCACTCCAGGCCGATAATAGCAGCCAGGCCAAGCTTGTCCGCTCATATCATAATGGGGAAAACAGTGAACAACTACAACAACAAAATAAAGTTGTGTATTAGAGCAGAAAAACACTGTAATGTAGATGCCAGGTATACTGCAGGACTAGGGTTAGGAACCACTGCACTACGTAATACCACTATACACAGCAGAACAGAGGATATCAATTCTGGTCTTGGAGGGATGGAGTCTAATATAGTTTGGTTTAGTTTCTGCAGTAGGCATTTACTCACCATGCTATACTATTCTACTGGGTTACTATGTACGACATTCCAGTGAGTGTGGAACCTTTTCATACATACAACGACTCTACAAACACTTGAAACACTTTAAGCTTTTCCAAACACCTTAGAAGGGTCATTCAAAGTTTGTCTTGGGAGCTAAAGTGCAGTGTTTTTGGTGGGCAGAGGGCCAAAAAATAAAGCACACACACACCCACACACACACACATTTTCTAAGCCGCTTATCCTTCTGGGTTGCGGGGGGAGCTGGAGTCTATCCCAGCAGTCATTGGGCCGAATGCAGGAAACACCTGGGACAGGTCGCCAGTCCATCACAAGGCACACACACAGACATATACATTCACGCACACACTCACACCTAGGGGCGATTTAGTGTGTCCAGTTGGCCTGACTGCATGTCTTTGGACTGTGGGAAGAGACCGGTGTGTGAAAAATAAAACAAAATATATAAATAAAAAATTAAAATATTTGGAAAATAACATTTTAAAAAGAAAAGGAAATAATTTCACAAGCTATATGTAGTATTATTATATATTTGTTCTCTTATTGGGTGAAGGTGTGGGATTAGGGTAACTTTCAGGTGGGCCAAACCCAGTCAAACATCCTCATGGGCCAATTCTGGCCCTGCTATTTACCCTTATTCTATACCTCTGGATTTATGGGACTGAATTACAGTCCAACATTCACATATTTGAAGGTGAATTCTAACAATTTTTCAAAATTTCTGCACAATTTAATTGTTGAGATAGAAACAAAGTCATTCAGAGTGTTTTTGATGTGAAACTTACCAACGCTTTGTTTACAGTGGTGGTGATAGGAACCAGGGCTCGAGATGTCTAAAACACAATCACAGCCATTTTATTTACTATCTAAAACCACCAGTGAACCTATGGGCCTTCTGGGTTTTTCTATTTAGCACTGGTATTAACAAAATATTGGTAAATCTGAAAAAACAAAAAAAAAACTTTGAGGCACCAATCTTCCTGGTACTGCTGTTGTAACACATTTCAAGTAGAAATACGCGATCACACTTATTGTGTAATACAGTAGTCAAAGACAACCGCCCTAAATCTCCCCCTGTAATTTGTGGATAGTCCCTTACTTTACAATGTGGCGCATTGGACGAAGTGGCTGCAGTCAGACCCTACAGTCTGTCATTACTCAGTGCACTACTGCGAGCCTTTGAGAAGGTAGCTTATGTACTAAAGAAGGAATAATGAAGCCCAAACCTGAGGACGAGGGTAAAAAGGTCGATATTTATCGTGACACATGGGTTCGGTTCCTGGGTGAGTAAAGCTGGTTAAAATCTCAGCTCACGTGTACACATGTTCGCTAGCTAGCCATCTGTGTTTCTCTCTCAGGAGACGAGTTTACAGCATGTCCTGGTCTCCTTGAAGGTAACTTATGCTGGCTATGTATTATGCCGTACAAAGAGCCTATCTGAATTTAGACAAAGGTAGCTTACATGTGTTAGAGCTAGAGTGCGTGTAGTTGTCTTGGTTATCTAGCCTGTAGTTGGATATTAAACGTGAAGACACCAGTGAAGAAGTATGAGTCAGTGTAGCAAACTAGTTAACTAAGTTAGCTAACTAACTAGGAGAGTCACACCCTGTAACTTACTTGTGTAAAGTCACACTTTCAGTCGAATCAGTGTTCAGTTGCAAAGTTACACTGTAACTCAGTGTATCTACACTGTATGTGAAAACGTGTTTATTAATATTACAAACAATTCAGCATTCCAGGTCCTTGTGTTTCAAGGCGGAACTTTAGCTACTTAGCTAATGACTTTCAGTGCATCACACCACGGGTCAGGTATTTAAATCCTTAACCGGTTTGCATATCCTTTGACCTTGGAACCGTCACAGATGTTACTAGTTACCATTCATTTTTCCACAGAAAGACCTATTAGTTTTTAAAGCTAAGGAACATTTCATAATGTAACCGTTGAGATGTAAACAAAACCATTAGATTTGAAACTTACTGACTCAGATTTCTTTATAATGGTGGTGGTTTTGTTGACTATACAAACCAGTGAGGTAGCTTTTAGAGGCCTTAAACGCTTCAGATGTCTGACAATTCTGACTCTGTTAGTTTCCTCAAAAAGATGGTTCTATAAGGGTTCGTTAGTGAAGGGAATGGCTGTATTTAGAACCATGAGTTCTATATAGAACCATTTCATGCTTAAATGGTTCTTTGCATGGTGAAGAAGTTATTAAGATTGACAGAAAATCTGCTTTGCGTGTATATACGGTTCAATATAGAACCTTTTTAAAAATGGTTCTATATATAGCACCAAAAAGAGTTCTTCTATTGTTAAAAAACCTTTTTTTAAAAAGTGTAGAACAATGCATTTAACATCAGACCAATCTGAATAACTTCATTTATCTTGACTGTTTAATTATACAATGGAAAACTGGTGGAATTTCCCATTAATCCACAATTTAAAATGTTAAATAAATAAGTTAACATGTTATTAGTACTAATAAAATGACATTTCAAATTTGGCATGTAAGAATGGAAATAAAATTTTACTAGTAATTTAGCATTTAAGATTTCACTTCCCACAAATAAGAATTATTGGCTTTTCCCATTTCACTAATTGATTGATTGATTCATTCATTCATTTATTACCACACGGCATGTCAGTGGGAACTGCATCTGGTGTAACAAGATGTAATTCAATTCTCTTGTAGCAAAATACACAAACATACAATATAACACACATACAGTAAACTGCATATAATACAGTTTACAATATACAGTGTGTGTTATTGGGGAGTCATGGAAAATTACACAGCAATTTCATCTGTGCTTTCTAAGGTTTCTAATCACTTTAAAAGGTGGAACAATTTTTACCACAATGAACAAAACAATTTTTAAAAAAAGGGTTTCACAGGTAAAAATGTATTTCACATTTTGAATTCTGGCTCAAATTAAATCTTATATTTTAAAAAGTATTTCTAA